CTCGTTGCGCATATGCCAGGATGCCTCTTCTATCATCCAACATGTGACATGTGATATATGCCGGACCGTCGTCTTGCTTGACCTACAACGATGTCAAGATTCTTTCAATACAGAGGATTAATCCTGGGGGATACTCGGTCGCAAACATATACTTTATGAATGTAGAACATGGCCTGACGCATAATTGACCACCAGAATGAGACTCCCCTTACTCGCTACCATTCTCACAGTTGTTTCTTCTTGCTCGGCCCTGCTCGCCTTTCCGGGCGCTGAGGGTGCGTTACCTATCCTGCGGGTGATACGTCTGTATGGCATTGACCGAATTTACCTTGCAGGCTTTGGGGCTCAGTCAACAGGTGGACGGGGGGGTAGCGTTTATATTGTCACAAACTTAAATGATTCGGGGGCTGGAAGCCTCCGCGACGCAGTCTCTCAGTCCAACCGAGTCGGTTTCTAAACTGTTTTAAAGTGTTCCCAACGCTTACTGGCACTGAAGATCGTTGTATTTGCCGTCGGAGGTCTCATCACAATTTCGAGCAGAATTGTCGTCAGTAGTCATGTCACGATTGCGGGACAAACAGCACCAGGGCAAGGCATCACCGTCTATGGCAATGGACTATCCTATTCAGCGGCGAGCAACACCATTACGCGTTATATTCGATTCAGAATGGGAGTTCCCGGTAAGCTTTCCAATTCTGCATTGCCTCAAATTTCCAATGACATAGACAAAATTGCAAGGTGACAGCGGAAAGGATGCCATCACCATTGCCAACGGCGCGAATATGATCTTCGACCACGTCTCAGTCTCATGGGGTCGCGACGAGACCTTTTCGATTAACGGAGATGTGTCGAATGTCACTATCTCGGATTCTATCATCGCGCAGGGCCTCGAGACCCATTCGTGTGGTGGCCTTATTCAGACAGATGGAGGCGTCAGTATCATTCGGTCCCTGTACATCGACAACAAAACCAGAAACCCGAAGGTCAAAGGAGTCAACGAATTTGTTAACAACGTGGTCTGTCTGATTTCTGAGTCTTGGTATATCTGTCATGTGAATTTTGCGGTCTTGTTCTGTTTGCAGGTCTATAACTGGGGTGGCGGAGGTGGATATATTGCCGGAGATTCGGATGGCCCATCTTATGCAAACATCTTGAATAATGTCTTCATAAGGTGCGTCAGGCATGAAACCCAAGGAAGCTTTGTGACCGCAACCTGCACAGCGGCCCCTCGACGAGCGTTCACCCTTGTAAGCACTTGAGAGCAGATCTAAAGGATAATTTCTCATAACAAAGTAGTCACCCGTGGCAACGCCAACTTCCATACTTATGTTTCCAACAATTATTATGATCCCGATCAGGTGAGTCTGGCGCAAGTGCTCGTTACATAGCTCATGATTTGGCAAAGGATGGCACCCTGAATGGCTGGATCCTGGCGGAGTCCACCGACAACTACTCCCCGGTCGACTTTCAGGCTACAAAGTACAACTATCCTACAGTGGGCACCCTGCTCTCCCCACTCGATGCACTTGCCAAGGTCAAAGCATCTGCGGGGGCCAGTAAATCGCGAGACCATGTCGACACGTATTTGATCAACACCGAACTGGGTTCCCTCGGAAAGATCGGCACCACTATCACTGATCCCACCGCATCGCCTATAAATGGACCAGGGCCTATCAGTGGCGGGACTGTACGGCTATTTCCCCTTATGACATTTCATGTATGTACTTACAACTCAACAGGCTCCAGTTGACACAGATAAAGATGGTATCCCCGACGCATACGAGACAGCGCATGGTACCAATCCAAATGTCAATGATTCTGCGAATATCGCGTCGAATGGCTATGCTAGTATGTTGAGCCACCTTAAGTCCTCCTCAGTATCTGACGCCCTGCAGATATCGAGAACTATATCAACTCGCTGGTCTAACACTGTCTCAACACCAATATCGTGTTTGGTAGACCCTCAGAACATGGTCAGTCTTCACAGGATAACAAAGAGTATCATATCATAGGTGTGTAGTAAGTACATGTAACAGATGCCTACAACAAAGCGACGAAAGCAAAACAAACACAACATAAGAAAAACATATCGACACTGGATAACAAACGCAGAACCAGTCCCGCCAGTCTACTTCAATAGCTCGAATCTTGACTTCCACCCGCCTCTGTACTACTATCCCCCGAGTCTCCCCACGTGCTTTCACGATGTGTCTTGTTAAAAACCATAAAACTCTGTCCAGGATATCCTCCTACTTTCCTCGGCTCCACTTTCAGGCTTACAGTCCTGCGTGCATCGTGTGCTAGCCGTGCATATGGCCCCTGTATGCCTATCGTTAACAAGGACCCAAAAGAAGCTTTCTGAACATACCAATTGAGAAATCATTGCAATTTTCGACTTCTTCCTTGGTGGTGCTGGTGTTTCCCCTGATGGCATTGACGGAGGCAAGCTGACCACTCTACGCATGGGTGCTCGCTTTGGAGTTGGTGAGTGTACGGGTTCAGCATCCGTAGCAATGCCCTGCGCCTCTAAGAATTCTTGAAAAAAAGAAATGAGGACACGGTGAATCAAGTCAGAAAGGACACATACCACGAGACCTGTATCGAAACACAAAAGATACGTATGTGCTTGGCTGGGTATTCGTTCGTTCCGTCTTTTCGTAGGCCACCACAGACCACGTCGATGGATATTGTTCGTTCGTACGCGCCTCTTGGCCAAATCTGAAAACCAGAAGTCTGTGAATGATTACAATAATCGGAAATGGTAAAAGCCCACCCTATGCAATGGTCGCCTGGCGTCCGCTTGCCTAGTGAAGTCGATGGAAGCTCCAACATTGAGTTTGGAGGATGCGTCTGCACTCGCGCCACACGCTTTATACGCAAAGTAACCATTCCGATGTCTTTAGACGAGCCTTCAGAGTCCACTTGGCTTTCTGCTGCGAAGCTCAATCGCACGCCCCAAATGAGAGGACTGGAGGCTTACCTGCTTTATCAACCTTTTGAAACACAAATGGACGCTCAGTAGAAAGCGATGTTCTAACTCCTTGCCTCGACGCCATTCCGTCACCAAAGAGAAACCGACCCGGCACTACGAAGCCATCCAACGTAATGAACGAGCAGGTGTCCACTTGACCTCCATGATCCTGCCAGTGCACGGCGAAGTTCTGTTGCGAATACATGAGTGGAAGCAGAAGATTGTTATGAGATATATGCGTACCTTTCCCTCTTCGCTAGGAATCCAACACGATACACGATTCGTATTCGAGTCCACCGCGACCAGATGCTCAGGCAGCGGTTTTCCGTCAACGACGATCCAAGCAGAAAATCCTCGATGTGTAAGCATGGGGCTGAACAAGGCCGTAGCCACACTCGTTGGGAGACCAGAGCCGAGTCTTATAGCAGTTGTGCCACCGCCTTATGGGGTTCTTGTGAATGGGATGGCGGTGGCTCTCCTTGAACAAAGTTGTCTTTGCCCAATCTGGAAGTTCAACTTTTGTGATCGGCCCGATCGCGTTCCTTTGTGACAGTTAGCATGTGACCCTCGTGCTTGAACGTTGTCATTGTCATTTCGTCCAGCTCCGCGTTACCTTGTTCCACCATGCCAACTAAGCGTAAAGTCGCGGATGACGGCGAGGAAAAACTAAAGGCCACGAAGTCAAAGAAGTCCAAAGTCGACTCTACTGTTCCGCTACAGAACGCTCAGCCTACAAACAAAGTACTACCGACGACAATCACGTTTCCCCAAAGAACGCCGGGAACTATCCGACTAGCTACCTGGAATATCTGTGGCCTAGCAGCAAGCTCTAAAAAGGTAGGAATCTCATTCGACGCGTTTCTGTGGTCATGTCACAAACTTGGTAGGGCTTCAAATACTACGTGGAAGCAGAGGATGCCGATATATTAGTTCTTACGGAGACAAAGGTAAATATTTCTTAGCTGACGCGTCAATTGAAAGGTTTTCATATTCTTATAGGTCAACAATGAGCCCGTCGATCCTACTCTGGTTGAGCGTTACCCCCACCGGTACTGGTCAATAGCCGACAAAAAGGGATATTGTGAAACTGCTTTTTGTCGTCGTATTATAACAGTTACTGATTCGTAAAAAATAGCTGGCACAGCAATACTTTCTAAACTCAAGCCACTCAGCGTAAACATGACACTTCCTGGCCATCCAGACACGTCTCTGGTGAAAGGCAGAATCGTCACGCTAGAATTTGAAGCCTTTTATTTGATCGGCACCTATGTCGTAAATGCTGGCCAGAACCTCAAGGTATGTATTGTACATTTGCCGCACTTTACACCTTCAAACATTACTCGAATAATCAGACTTTGGATGCCAAGAAGGAGTGGAATACTCACTTCGATGCTTATATTCGGGATCTTGACAAGAAGAAGCCCGTAATATGGACAGGCGATCTGAATGTTGCCCCAACAGAAATGGGTAAGATATCCTTTCAGGTGCACTCAACGGTGGCCTAACCGTACCCATCCATAGATCTTCGGAATGCCAAGTCGAACTGGAACAAAACAGCTGGGTATACAGAAGCAGAGACGACTGCATTCAAGAATATTCTAAGTTCTGAAGAGGCCCCCGAGAAGTTCGTCGACATTTGGCGTCACCTTCATCCAGATGTTAGACATTATACCTACTTCTCTTACCGTTTCAATGCACGCCAGAATGGGACCGGGTGGCGCCTTGACATGTGTGAGTTCCCACTTTCAAGCCTCTGAGTATAAACCAAACTGAAGAACCTCGGACAAGTTGTATTGAGCGAACGAATCGCAGAACGGGCAAAATTGGTGTGTCACCTCCTTGGCACGTAGGGTGCTGTACTATGCTAACTTTCCGCAGTGTGAGATCAGAGATGAGATATATGGTGCTTCTGATCACTGCCCGTTAGTCTTGGAGTTTGAATACGAGAAAACGTAGAATGATATAGTAGTATGCGCAGTCTGAGCCTTATATTCTAAACTTATCTTTGACCTTGTAGTCACTTATATCTGGGGGTATAGCTCAGCTGGGAGAGCAGCAGACTGAAGTTGACTTGGTTTCTGAAGGTCCCGCGTTCGATCCGCGGTACCCCCATACTTTTGAGTTCTTTTATTATGACACGATCTGCAGCAACGTCTAGTGAAAATTTTCTCCACTGAAGTACGTCAAATGCACAGTGCCCGTTACAAATCCCCGAAAAGAGTGCTACGACACGACCTCAGTTTTCTAAGGATTTGACCAACAGTACTAGTGCTGGCTGGTCTTTGATTTAACAGTACTTACTATAAAACAACAATTTTAGTATTCTCCGAAGCGGACATGTCCCGTCTGCTCCGCATGAGCCCGCGCATCCTTTTCTCCCTTCAGTCCTTGGCCACATACCTACAACGGTCTCAGCTGACAGAAGGTAAATCCGGAGGGGGCATACCTCGCATTTCAGGTCAAACGTTGATGTATTAGTAAATGCCTTCTTCGCCCGTAGGACGTCGGCCAATTTCTTGGCTGCGAGCATGATAGGATCGTGGTCATCCTTTGCGCCCTACAACACGCCAGGAATCAGACAATTTTAGATATAATTCTGTGTTTGATCCGTACAGCTGGGAACAGTGTCTGGTGCCACTCCCCCGGTGCATCTGGCGTGGGAGCCAAAGTTGCCGCATCATAATGGATGCCCGAATACACGAGGACACAACGCATCCCTGTGGAAGGTCCTGGAGAAGAGAAGTGGTCAATCCTGCCGCTTTCGACGTCGACGCTGGCTATCTCGGTGTTATAATGTGCTGCAAGGATCGTTAACTCAATTGCGCCACCCCACGTCGCCGGCTTGAGGATTGTCGCAATGTAATTATCTGGCGCCATGCTAATGACGTCACTACCGAAATTTATGAAGGATACAGGCGCTCGTACCCAAGGATGGCCTCGGTATATTTCGATGGGTCTTCACGAATGCCTTTTGCTACAACTACACGGAAGTGGATTAGACGCCAGAAGGTCTTGAAATATACAACACACTTTTGCGCATTTCAGGTGCTTTATTGATACTCTGCTCAAACAACAGTGCCACGGCGGAGAACAGACACGAATTGTCGTCGGGGACGATCTGACACACGTACACAGTGCGTTAAATAAAACTGCACCCAGCGCAATGAAAGCACTTACTCGATGAATCAATACACCACCATCAGTTTCGACATAATCTGGACCATCCAGAGACGGTACCGCCGAAGAACGAGAAGCAGGCGCAGAACCCGGAGAACGAGCCGCGGCTGGCGGCGAGGATCCGAATGGGCGGGGCCTGCCGGGCGAGACGGGACTCGTTGTACTCCGATTCGAAATCGGATATGGTGCGGCAGAAGACGCGGTAGTATCTGGGAGCTCGCTCACGATGATCTGCTCCCCAGGTTTTAAGCCGAGACTTTCAATCGGGAGCTCTGGTATCAAGGTCAGTCCATGGGGCGGGTATCCGGCTTTCACTGCAAAGTAGTTCCGTATCAGATCAAGTGTAGTGGGGTATATAATTAAATCACGCACGGCTCTGTCGTGATGGGAGAATCTGTGTGGCGGCGTAGATCTCTTGTTGTAGATCTTGGACGGTGAAATCGTCGCGGTCAAGGGCAACTTGAATGGTGGATACGCCTGAAGGATGGCGTAGACGGATGGCAACCATGATGGTCAAGAAGAAGGCTGATTAGATCAACTAAACACTACTGATCTGATATATAATTATCTAACGAAGGACTCCCAGCTTGTTACTTGCTTTCAATGCGATCGCTTCGTATTTCCGCATGCCACCGTCCAGCGCTTTCAACTGTCCCTTGATCAAACGGTATACGATCCCCGGCTTCGCCTGCCACTGCCCTCGAGCCTCTTCCTCCTCTTCTTCGTCATCGCTTCCGTCTGGCGATTCATTGGGTGATTCTCCTTCCACCACACACCTCATGAAGAATCTATACTCTCGTTAGTTTGTCTCTTGAAATGTAAGAAGGTGAGGCATACCGGTCGTGAGTGATAACAAGTAGTGCGCCTTGATACTCTTTGAGAGCCTCAACAAGGGCCAGCACCGTGTCTGCGTCCAGATGTGTTGTCACCTCATCAAGTACTAAGAGATGTGGTGGAGAAAAGATGAGCTTTGCGAGCGCCAGTCTGACCTTCATACTTAGTCGTAAGAAAGCGTCGTTGGCATTTTTTATGGTACGTACATACCTTTTGTCCGCCTGACAGCGCTGCGACTGGAACATCGCTCGCGGTCTTTCCAGGCAAGCCCAGACCACTGAGCAGGCCTCGCGCCTCCTGTTCAGACAATTGCCCTGCACTAGTTTCCATCAACTCTTTCAGCGCCGTGAGTTCTGGGTCCACCTTCCCCCTCTCCTCCAGCGCCTCAACAGCGTGCTGCGAGAAGCACTGTATCCTCGCCCTGGTATGGCGCGTAACGCTGCCCTTCATCGAGCTCAGACCCCCGTCTACCAGCCCCACGAGCGTCGACTTCCCACTCCCATTGAGGCCCGCGATCCCCACCCGCTCTCCGGGATGAATCACAAGATCTATGTCCACAAGAGTCATCATGCGCGCACGGGGGTACGCAAAAGACACCTTCTCGAGCGCCACCAGCGATCCAGGGAACCTGAGGTCTGGAGGCTCGTTCGGGAGCAGCATCCGCACGAGGGGGTCGACCGTGGGGATCTCAATCGCGTCACGGTTCGTGAGGTGGTAGCCTGCCAAGTCCCGATTGAGCTTGAAGCGGCCGCCTCGGAGCCCAACTTCGAGCCCGGAGCGCTCTTCAATCTTCTTTCGCCGCGACGCGACCTGCTTCAGCTTTTTGTCGTCCCCCGTGCGCTTCGCAGCGCTGAGAGCAGATGCGATTGACGACTCCATGTGTTTGGTCTTTTTGTCAAGCGCAGCCTGCATACGTGTGAGGTTTACTGTCTTGGCGTGTCTCTCGAATTCGTAGAGGGAAAGATTGCCTTTAAAGTGTTCAAGCTTTTGCTCCCGTAAGACGAGCAGCTCATCCGCGACGGCGTCCGCGAAATCGCGGTCGTGGGTGCTAAAGAACACGAGGGATCTTAGTATTCTGTAAGTAGATTTATGTGAAACGAGGACATACATTACGACCACTGTCGTATCCGTGAGGTTCTGTACGTAACTCTGTAGCCAGACAATGGCAGGCAGATCCAAAAAGTTGGTACATTCATCCAAGAGAAGGATATCAGCTTTCTGGAAAAGCGCGCTCGCCAGTGAGCAACGAGTCCGCCAGCCACCAGAGAGCGTCGTATACGGCCTCAGGATTGCTTCAGCTGAGAACCCGAGACCGTAAAGCACCGTGCGTGCGCGCACCTCTGCACTCGCCGCGTCCATCGCGTCAAGGGAAGCCTGAATATCAGCAAGTGTATCGACGGCCGCACGCGTCTCCTCCTGTATAGCCGTCCCATCTATTTCAGCCCCTGGTTGCTGGAGCAAAGCCGCCGAGCCCGCAACCTTCTCCTCGGTGGCAATGAGGTCCTTGCGGGCTTTCGCGCCACGGGCGCCACTCCGGCGCGCAGCGATCTTGGACATCTCGTCGTGTTCACGCACGAGGCGCTCATGCTTGAGCTTGCGGATCGCTCTAACGATCGCGAGGGGGTTTTTGGTGTTTTCCAGCGCCTCGGATAGGTCTGTGGCCCCAGGTGTTATAGCGAGGGGGCGGAAAGGGTGAGACTACGTACGTTTGGTTTCTGCGAGTAAGCGTTCACGGTTCGCGTCGCTGCGCATAACGTGCTCGAGGACAGTGCCGTCTTCGAAACGCAATGTAGCGAGGCTCTCGTCAAGAGTGCTGCTGTTGACGTAGTTTGTCTGCCCGAGGAGAAGGATGTGCAGGCTCCATGGGACTCCTGGTATGCGCCCCTCCGCTAGAGCGCGTAAGAGCGTGGATTTGCCTGTTCCGTTGCGTCCGACAAGGACATAGTGTCTATTCTCCCACAAGGTAAACGTTGCACGTGAAAGGAGATCTCGGCCACCGATAGAAAGGTTTAGATCTTTAATGTCGATCTAATATTGATGCTTTTTAATGAGGACTTGCGGACTGATATAACGGGGACCTTACCTCTTTCGTTGTTGGCGCATCAACTGCATCAACGTGAAAACGACTCTGTTGTGCAGTGACAACGATACCTTCCGTGAACTTTTTCTTTGCGTCTCTGGGTGGCATGATGAAATGTACAGCTCAAGTGATCGTTGGCTCCTAACTGATGAAGGATCAAAAGTTTTTAAAGTTTTTTGGTACGAGTCACTGTACAAAACAAGAGATTAACGGACCCGGACATTAAATTTGATATGATCTCATCCGACGACGGTGGAATGCTCACAAACCACGGAATGGTACTAGACTTCGATATGGGAGTAGATACAGTAGTACGAGTCACCGTACAAAACAAGAGATTAACGGACCCGAACATTTTGATATGATCTCTTCCGACGACGGTGGAACGCTCACAAACCACGGAATGGTACTGAACTTCGATATGGGAATAAATACAGTTGTACAAGTCACTGTACAAAACAAGAGATTAACGGACCCGAACATTTCGATGATAATATCTCATCCGACGACGGTGGAACGCTCACAAACCACGGAATGGTACTCAACATCGATATGGGAATAGATTCAGTAGTAAATTACAGGGTGAAATATCGACGGACATGCGCTTATTTATCACCCATTCCGACGACGTTCTTGGCCTTGTTAAGGAGCGACTCCTAAATCAAACAATGAGGGGATGCAACAGTTGGCGAAAGCAAGACACATACATCGTTCTGATTGGAGTTCCCGCTGACGGAGTCACCTGCCTTTTGGCCAGTGGATTTCTGACTCTATAGGAGACAAAATCTATGAGTATGGAAAAGTAAGAATAGATTTAGGTAAGCTTACGTTGGGTTGCAAAGTGGACGCTGCAGAATCCATCTTGCCCTTGATGTTGTCACCGACGTGTTCGGTAGTGGACTTCTGAGAGTCGGGCTGGGATACTCATCAATACATGTATGAAAGAGCAGCTGGGCAAGGTAATACCTTGAGTGCAGACCCGGCTTTGTCGGTGAAAGATTGACGGCTATTGTCTGACATG